GCGGTTCAGAGGTCAGCCAGGTCTAAATAAGGATCTCTCGTCTCTTTCTGTTAGAAATATGTCTTCCTGTTTTTTTAAATCATGGAATGTGATGCCTCGGTTCGGTTCTAAAAACCTAGTGAGCTGACTACCTGGAAAGCATTTCTAAAACCTAGTAAGCTACCTACCTAGGAAGCCTTTAGGTAGGTGTACTCTAGTAGGTGTGCTCTTGACATAAAGGCTGTTCCAAAAGACAGGTTTCTTTAATATTAAAAAAAAATATTAATATTAATTATTAATCAGACTTTTAAAATAATAAGAATACAAATACACACACATATATTTATTTATATTATACTGATAAATGATATAAAATTACTGTAATTTTATGATACTTATAAATGATAGTTATACGTTATTAATGATCATTAATAATAATAAAAATCTTATTAAACTTATTAAAATTATACTTTAATATTAATTAGAAATCAGACTTAAAATAGCATTAATATTTTTAATTTGCATCAATTGTTTTTATATCAGTTGTTTATATTAACTAATATATCTAATTGATTTAAAATAGCACATTTATATTATACTGATAAATATTATAAAAGTGAATATCATTATCAAATTTAATAATTATTAATATTTGTCATTAACCATAATGAAAATTACTATTACTAAAATTATTCTTAATTTAATATTATTAATATTAATTAGAAATCGGACTTTTAAAATATGAATGTTATTTAATTAATAAATCTGAAATAAATTAGCATCAGTTTTATTTAAATAAATTATATGTATATAAACTAATATATATATATATATATATGTGTGTGTGTGTGTGTGTGTGTATAGATAGATAGATAGATAGATAATAGCAATATTATAAAAATGCATATTATGGTGATATATATTAAAATTAAATTTAATAAATTATTAATAGTCATTAATCAATAAAAATTACTATTATTAAAATTATACTTTGCTTAATATTATAATGCTTAGTTTAATATTATTATTATTATTATTATATACTAAAACTTAGAATAAATTTAGAATAAGTATTATTAGAATTCATTCAATAACTTACTTAAATATCATTAAACATAGTTCTAGTGAAAATGTAGGTTATTTTCATATTTCATATTTGTGTTGTTTGTATTATGATTATTAGAGTGTTGTGTTGTTAGCTGAGCAACATGCTAATGTCTGACTACTGTATAGGAATGAGTCAATGGTGCATCTCTTGTGCAGTTTATGTGGATTAGACCGCTGCCTATGTCGGGAGTCTCTAGGTGCTTTGAGCATGTTCATGTTCTCTTTGTATTCTCCACAGACTCTCTCCTGGCTCAAAGACAGCGTTGCGATGGCCACTCAGATCTGCAGTTTGGCCGGGCCGAACGGTTTTACAGCAGCCAAGAGGCACCAGGCCTCACTGGAACAGGATATCCTGTCCAACAGAGCCAGGATAGAGCTGGTCAAGAAGGTGAGAGTGTTCACTGGCTTTACACAACAGCTGTGCACACATACCTCATCTAACACTAACTTTTGTCTATTGGTAATGCAGTTTCTGGAAATGTGTAAAAAAAAAAATTAAGCTTAGAAGAAGCTACTTTTTCCAACAAGTAGAAATGTAGTGCATCGATTTCTTACTGCATGCCACATTTTATTGAGAGAATATATCCTCAAGTCTTTTTTTTTTTTTTTACTTTTCTAGTTTAAATCATAATTAAATTGAATACGATGAAATTGTGTATTTTATGATTTTTCTTTCTGCTTATCAATGAAATATTGTGTAAGTTTGATACATTATAGCAAATTAATTAGTGTGGATGGTTAATTTCAGTGAGCTGATTCAAAATAGTGAGTCATTTGATATGTTTTTGACTTAATTATTTAAAATAGCGTGTTTTGAGTTTTATTTTGTGGCCGTTTTAGCCTTGTTTTGTAGTTGTGTTTTGTCTAAATGTGTGTGTTCAGGATTGATGATGTTACCTTAATTGAAAAGTGTTTTTGTTTATATTAAATCCTGATAAATGTTATAAAATGTATATAATTGTCAAATTTTATAATAATTATTAATGCTCATTAATAATAAAATAACTTTTTTATTTTAATTAAATCATTATTCATTATTTTTAATTGAATTAGCATTAATTTTATTATATATAAATTATATTTATATGAACTAATATATACACACATACATGCATATATAATTTATTTAAAATAGCAATGCTATAAAATGTATATTATACTGATAAATATTACAAAAAATTAATATCATTATCACATTTAATAAAAAAATAATATTAGTCCTTAACCATAATGAAAATGACTATCATTAAAATTATACTTAGTTTAATATTATTAATATGAATTGGAAATGAGACATATAAAATAATGTGAATATTATATATTTAACAAATATGTATGCATAAATTATTTCAAATGTAAAAATTGTCAGACGTCTTGTTCCCATCCAGGAGGGTTACAGTCTGGTGAGGGCTCAGCATCCGGGCAGCATCAAGATCCAGGAGTTTCTGAGTCAGCTGAAGGTTCTGTGGGACGAGCTGAAGAGAAGACATGAGAGGAACGGTCTGGTCCTGAAGGTCTCAGAGGAGCTCAACTACAGGGTACATATATCTGGTGTTTCCCTGAATGTTTGGAATGGCATATTGCCTTGTGTTGTTGAAAGAAATTAGTGTGCAGTTTGTATACTGAGCAACATATGCCATTTATTATGCCATTTATTATTCCAAGAAATGCCCACATACAACTAGAGCACACTGTGTGGAGTACTGTATCCCACAATGCAGTGCATGCAACATTGAGAGTCCATTTCCAGTGTGATGAACAGGAAATGCTATCAATCATGATTTGACCTTTTTTTTATTGCACTGACAAAAAAATGACTCAAAACTAGAATAAAAATGCAAAAACAGTATTAGTTTACAAGATGGATTATACATGTAGCATAACTTATGTTATGAAACATGACTACTGTTTGAAATATTGATCAGTGCATTTTGCATACTGTTTCACATAAATAGTAGACACTGTACAGTGTATTTTGCAGGAAGAAATGTTTTGCAAAAAAAAAAAGATATTTTAATGTCATTTTCATCACTATAATGCTATATATATATATATGTGTGTGTGTGTCTAGATTACATATTTCATTTATGCTGATTACATTATAAAATAAAAATAATATATTGCAATTTTTTTGTTTTGTTGCATTTAATATTTACTTTGTTACAGTTTTGAAAATGTAATGGGGAATGCAGAAAAATCGAATAAAATGTGTCGCTGCATTAGTGATTTTTGATAGAAAATGCGCTTAATTGTCTTAAAAATAATGTCACAATGCAAAAGTTGTAAGTTGAATACATGTATAATACAAATAACACAATAGCAGGCAAACAAAATGAAAGTAACATAAAAAGGGCAAAAATAAAATGAATTAAATATTAGGACATATTTGCATTTTTTTTTTATCTCTTTGACTCATCATTTCATTGGACTGCCAAAAGAGAAGATATTCACAAAATTTGATTTCAAATCCAGAGTAATCATATTTTTGCCAAATGCATGCAGTTTGTTAATTGTTCAGTGTGGAATCATGGAATATTATATCTCACAATGCAATGGTCTGCTCTGTCTCATGAGTGTATTTGTGATTTGTGCATTGCAGAGAATATTTCCTGTATAAACTGTGACAGACCGACCACAGCAGCTGTGTTTAATTGATCATTGCGAGTCGTGTGACTGTGATTGGCAGGTGGTGCGGATGCTGCAGTCTCTGGCCAGTCTGGAGGCATGGTTAGAGGCGGTGGAGCTGTCCATCAGGCAGGCATCTCTGGCTGGAGACCCCGAGTCCGTGAGCGTGGCGGAGCAAGAGAGCTGCCAGCTGGAGCAGGAGCTGGAGGCCAGACGTCTGGAGCTGCAGACCCTCAGACAGGAAGTAGATCATCTGAGCAGTCAAAGACATCTTCACACTCAGCTGCTTCCTGCACGGCTGAAGGACGTGGAGAAGAAGTATGTGCCGCCGGTTCGACACAACATAGATGTAGTTTGCGCTGCGGTGTTCGGATGTATGAGCGTGGGTGTTTCTTTCAGGTTCAGCAGTGTGCAGATGGCACTGACCCAGCAGAGCTCAGAGCTGCAGGACACGCGGATGCTCACGGAGTTCCTGGAGAAGCTGGAGCTCGAGGAAAGTCACTACAGCAATGTTATTTAATAAATAAATAACAATTTTATTTGCATTAATCATATTATATCAATTTTATATATATATATATATATATATATATATTAATTAATATTATATTATTTAATTTAATTAGTATAATATTATTAAATGTATATTTATAAAACTTATGAACTAAATTTGTAATGTTTATATTATATTACACTGATAAATCTATTTATAAAAACTAATATCATTAATTTAATAATATAATCAGTAATCGTGTGTGTGTGTGTGTGTGTGTGTGTGTGTGTGTGTGTGTGTGTGTGTG